CTGTTGCATTCACTACTACATCTGTAGCACCTGCAACATCCACTACTGAATCTGTTACACTGGTTGAATCTATTGAATCTGTTACACCGGTTGAATCTACTGAATCTGTTGCACCTGTTGAACCTGCTGCACCTGTTGACCTGCTGCACCCGCTGTTGTATCTGTTGCATTCACTACTACATCTGTTGCACCTGCTGCATTCACTACTGAATCTGCAACATCCACTACTGAATCTGTTGCACCTGTTGCACCTGTTGAACCTGCAGCACCTGTTGAACCTGCAGCACCTGTTGAACCTGCAGCACCTGTTGCACCCGCTGCTGAATCTGAGCTTGTTGATGATTCTGATCTTGTTGATGATTCTGATCTCGTTGACGATTCTGATCTTGTTGATGATTCTGATCTTGTTGACGATACTAAGCCTGAGCCTGTACCTGCACCTTCTACTGAATATGATACTGAGTCTGATACTGAACCTGAGCCTGTACCTGCACCTTCTACTGAATATGATACTGAATCTAGCGAGACTCAAGAAGAGCAAGATCAAGAGCAAGATCAACCAAGCTTTTTTGATAAAGACTGGACAAAAATCATGTCAAACAATAATCAATGTGGATTAGGTTATGGCAGATGCAAGGGATCGTTATGCTGCTCCGAGTACGGCTATTGTGGATCGGATGATTCGTACTGCGTGGCCCAATGCGATCCCTCGTATGGTGAATGTGGAAATGATCTTAGTCCTGCTATCAAGGCTTCGCTCACTCTGACGGATGATAATACGTGTGGACGTCAATTCAACAAAATGTGTCCACCAGGATCTTGTTGCTCACATGATAATCAATGTGGAACTACAACTGCTCATTGCGGTATTGGATGTCAAAATCCGTTTGGTATCTGCAAACCTCCAATCACGAAGCTTCCACCACCCGGTCCAGTTCACCCCAAACACGAGTATCGCGATGAAGCTCTTATCAGTTGCGCAACATCTGGACATATGGCTCTGGCGTTTGAAGGAGGTACTGATGCTCACAACGTTCCAAACATTCTTGACGTACTCAAGGAGTTGGGTGCTCAAGCAACATTCTTTGTCAGTGGATTCAAAGCCAACAATTTGCACAACAGCGATGCACAAGCCATTTTGAAGAGAATCTATAACGAAGGTCATCAAGTTGGATCTGCAACTCTAACTCATTCCAGACTTTCCCAACTTTCGCCCGAGCAAATTGCTTTTGAAATGGTCAATAATGACTGGATGATTCAGCAGGTGATTGGCGTCAGTCCAATCTACATGCGACTTCCTTATGGTGGCGATGGTACATACCTAACTAAGCAGCTTATTGATATGGGATATCTTGTTGTTTCGTATACTCTAGATAGCGATGACTTGAGCGCTGGCGATGTAAATGATTCAGGTGAAAAGGCACTTGCCAACTTTGATCAAACTATTAGCTTCTACTCTGGGGTTAGTTCAGATACCAGTTCGTTCATCACGCTTCATCATGAAGATGCTAAAAATGGTCATCTCGGTATTCGAAAAATTATTGAAAAGTATCGTAAACTCGGATACACTTTTGTCACCATTGGTGAATGTCTGCGTCAATCTGATCCCAAAAGCTGGTATCGTGTTCATGACTTTAACGAATTGGCTTGAGTTTGATACATTTTTTGCTTGTTGGTTTCTATACCATTTCTATCCACGACAACTATAATCAATCTAAAAAGTATTGTGCATGTGGACTGATAGCATCAAGTGAAATAAATCATTCATTAAAAATAGTTTTGGGTTTATGAATATCATTGGGAATTTCAGATTAAATGTGAGATTCTGAATTTATGATGGACATGGTAAATTGTGATTCAATCAGATTTACGGATCTACATCAGATCATCTAGTGATGCTGTCAATAGACTACTGCATACATGTTGCGTATGTATTGCCATCAAAACAGTCGGCAAGTACTGCATCCATGAATGTATGACAATCTACATAACCCAATACATTGTACAGTGGGAAGAGTTTGAATACAGTCGGTACGTGGTTTGCTCAATGAAATAACATCATCAAATACAAGAGCTGCTGCATCACGCGGTGTAAGGAAGTTGGGAAGGTTAAATAGTTTTTTGAGAGTAGCTGGGATTGACGAGTGTTCAAAGAAACGACTCGTGTCATCAGAGTGATAAACTGCACCCTTGCTGACATATGGTGAAATGATGATTGTTGGCACACGAGGACCAAGACGGTCAAACTGGAAATCTCCAACATTCGAGTCGGGATTGATATTGTCGGGTCGAAAAACACATG